CAGCAGCGGCTGAATCAGGACGCCTGGGGCAGAGCAGATGGGGTGCTGCTGGGTTGGTCCAGTAGCACTGAGGAGCGGCGCTACTGGAGCAACCCAGCAGCACCCCAGCTGCTCTGCCCCAGGCGTCCCCAAGTCAGCTTCTGCTGAAACTGACCAGCACTGACTACAGGAGTTGCTCTGCCCCGGGCTTCCTGGAATCAGCTGCTGATCAGTTTCAGCAGCAGCTGACTTGGGGACGCCTGGGGTTCTTAAGTTGATTCTGTATGTAAGTCAGAACTGGCGGTCAGTTTCAGCAGCCGCTGAATCTGGACGCCAGTTCCGACTTACATACAGATTCAACTTAAGAACAAACCTACAGTCCCTATCTTGTACGTAACCCGGGGACTGCCTGTACTATAGAAAGAGAAATCCTGGCCAATCAATTCAAGGAAACAGCACTTATAATCATCTAACATAACTTTCAAATACTGATGTCCCTAACACCAGTTTTTCCCATATTAAAAGTGAAATAGGCATAACTAGACACTGAGTTAATTAAAAAGAATACAAATGAGAAATCTTACATGTATAGCCACTTTCACAGTTTAATGAGGGAGTAAAGTTAACTAGCTAAAGGGAATCAGAAAGATTATTTTCTTCTGTAGGGTATTTTCAGGCTCTCTTTCATAATTGTAAAGCAGTTAACACAAACTAATCTAGTGTCAACTGCATTTCAGGATGTTCTTTATAATTGAAAAATATCATGCAAAAGAAAGTATCATTATTATTCCCCTTTTCCCCTTACCATTGTCTTGTTGCCTGCCCAAGCTATAAATTGTTTTATTTTTGTAGTTGGACTTGTAGGAAATGAAACCATGGTTAGACATACAAACTTACTGCAGATTGGACAAAACACTAGAAATTATGTTGTTAAAAAATCCCTACTGGCTGCTATTAAGATTATCTTGATGACTTTTTAAGGTCTTTTCCATCTCTGGCTTCTATGATTTTTGTAAAGGGATTTGTGTAAGGTCATTTTATAACTACTACTAGATGAATGGTCCATTTTGACAGGAGTAACCACAAGGATTTAAGAATCTTGGTTAGCAATAACTGCCTCAATGATCTCAAATTCCTGAGTCTCTCTGGAGGCCATCCAAAGTCAGAGACATTAAGTCTGATGAGAACTGCTCTTAGAGCTTTTCAGACGTTTTGACTTGTCCTTTATATCAAGGAATTTTCAAAGTTTTTGACTGACAAAAGCTCTAATTTGGACTTTTGCACAACAGATATTCACAGAAGTTTCAAAACTGAGTTGCAAAGTCTGATAAAACTAGACAGATATTCATTTGGTTAATACAAATTTGACAGCTTGCATAGTCATAGCTCTGGTCTTAACACAGGGTTGTATCACATATAGGAAGTTTACAAAGGATATGCAGCCAGTGAAAATCTTAAACCACTCTGACTCTTCTTCATTAATGAAATACCACAGGGAACCTTGAAGAGATAACAGATACCAAACAATACATCCATGAAAATGCTGTTTTATACAGTCCATTGAAATCTTTGATAACAATAGAACATACCTGAAGCTTTCACAAGAAACAGAATTCCTTTCTTCAAAAGCAGAGAGTGGGGATCAATAGATAAAAGCTGAGTATGGAAGATTTCTACTCTGGGACATGTATTGAGAACACAGATGAAAATAATTCAGAGAAAACCCTTGACCTTTCTAGAGAGTTCCTGATATCAAACAATGAATATGACATTCACAAGTGAAGATTTATCAAGAATAACTATTTTGAAGAAGTATACAAAAATAGTTCATAAACACCCGGGTACTTGTTTTTGGTAATGAAAAATGAAACTTGCATTTAAAAAAGTAAAAAGAGAAAGCTATTCTTGTAGTGATGTCAACTTTTCATTGATACAAATACTAAGCAGAGTATATTTGTTTGTCATAATTATTCACATTATTGCTTGCTACCACAGATCTACGGGGAACAGTTTCTTAGCTTACATTTATGTTCATGTACAGTTATTCCAGACATACAAAGAACAAACATAAAAATAAGATTACCAAGTAGCTATTAAAAACAAAATATACATGAAGATATGTACAACTAAGTGAGATAAATAACAGAATGAAATAGAAAGGCCTGACCCAAGCATATATCATATATATACAGGTTTTTAAATCATATTTGTGCAGAATATAATACCTTGTAAAACAAACTGGGAAGAAACAAGGGTGCAATAAATATTTATCCAATATATTTCTTAAATTCTCCAGTGCACCCAGCTTTGATTAAATTTTGTGATACATGGCATCAGCCCACATTTGTGTCTGGACCTGTGTTTCTCAAAATCTCTCTCAAACAACTGCCTATGTGAGGTTATAAATTTATTTAAATAAAACCTTTAAAAATATTTTATTGGGATAATAAATTCACTGAAAAATAGTTTTGCACCCTTGTGTACAAGATCTGGTGAACAATAAGAAGAAAATAGTAAAGCTGTTACATGGCATCAGCCTGAATTAAGATATATACATTGTAAGTTGCAATATTAATGTATTTTTGTGATCCTGAGCTCTAGTAGTCATCAGATGCATGCAAACCTTTGTGATTTTTTTCTAGTTTGAGTACAATACTTCGAATTCTGGTTTATTAATCTTCAAGTAGAACTTCTTCAGAACCAGCTGATAGATTTCTTCACAAAAGAGCACAGAGACTTCTAATGAAGCATTGACATTTGGGTTCCAAAATGGACAGTTTCAAACAAATGTAAGTCATTATCCCAGTAGAGGGGGAAGAATGATATTTCCTCCCGCATCCCATCCAGAGAAAGATAGGAAAGTAAAAATATACAACTAGTATACATGTCACCAGTAAAATCTGCAGATGGTCATAGAAGTTACTTAGGTTAAAAATTAAAAGAACTACCACAATTTATAATCAACTCATTATGTGTATTATGGAGTAAAAAAATATCTGCTCACTTATAAGCTATTTTCAGCTGTATATTTATAGTTCTGTATATACACACACACATATAAAAGATTCTCCAAAAATCAAGATACATTAACATAAAAAGTACAAGTAATAACTTAAGTAGTAGTTAAACATTTGCATGAAATGACTTTTGCAAATTTTGACAAAATGCACTTAGAACATGCCATTATTAAAAAAAACAGAAAGAAAAAAAAACCACCACAATAATCTGTAGAACCAATGCTATGTCACCACCATGAGAGCACCAAGCAAGGCACCATTGGAAAGACAACATACTTGGATAAGTCTCTATAAATAAAGCAAATGCTAATCTGGTCGAAAAATTGGTGTCTTTGGTAAAAATTCTATCAGGATGACCTGTGTAAAAAGAAAAATAATTTTAAGGAAACTGGGCATTAGTTGTATCCATCACAGCAACCACTCACAAAATGTGTTCCCATTTATCTAGAAAGGCAGGGGGAAAAGGGCAGAAGGAATGAACAATCAAAGGTCATGCTACCCTTTCTAGGTAAAGGACCACTAACAAAAGGTGATGCACACTATGTGCCTATCTAAGAGCAATAAACCTTCACAGCTACAGTACGAGATGACAATCCTTTAAGAAATTCAGCTACCTGTCAATTTTTCCCTAACAAAATGTAAATGCATTAAATGTTTAAAAGAGAAGATAAATACATTGAAGAATAACATTACATGCAAACTATCAACAGCTGTTCTCAATTCAAATTAGTTTTGCAATCAATTCGAAATTTAAAACATGCTTACAGTTTCAATGACTTTCCATAACAAGTACTAAATTACTATTTCACTAATCTTCTGCCTAACATATTTCAATGCCCATCTCTATATCAAATTTTGAGGTTGGTAAAAAGAAACTCAACTTATGTTTCAACATGAATATTTACAGCTTGACTCGGATGCAAGATATAGGAGGCCCTCAATATAACCTATCTGAATATAATCTACCCCTTAGTGTGTGTTGAAGGACATCTTAAAAAAAGCTACCCTTTCAAAACTTTCCCCCTCCATAAAATTGTCCATAAAATTACTGACACATAAGTAAGATTGGGACTCCTAACACTCTACTCTGTTCAACAAAGGAATGTAATTGAATTTTATTGGTTTCTAACTGTGCAATTCAAAGCACGCTGGTAAAAGAAGGTAGCCTTTCTTCTAATCAATTAAAATTGCATTCCTAAAAGTTTTTGAAACAAAAGAATGTTTCATCATCAAAAACCTATCACATAAAAAGCTTATTACCTGAAATAGACAAAAAGCTGACTCTCAGTAAGTACATTTGGGGATGTAGGAGAAAACTAACTGGCTGAGTAAAGTGTAATGATACAAAAATCTACTTATTCAGTTTAGTGAATAGAGCTATTCTATGAAGAGACATTAAAAATCTTTTATGTTTCAGCCTAGAAATAGGATTTCGCATGAAAATGGAAGAAAGCAGTGAAAAGACAATTTTAAGATAATTTCTACTTATTTAAATACTATTTTAACCAATCTTTTCATATATTGTCTATGATGGCTTTATTGTTTCAAAGAATAGACAAAATATCACATGACAAAAGACCATGCATATTTAAGAAATGCTATCTTAAGTGTTTCTCCAAGGTTAGTCTTTATTTTCAGTAGTTAACTCCTTCTTGGCCCACTTCTATTAAGGAATTCCTACATATTTGAATTATATAATCAATTTAACAAACTCATCTCACCACACTACGTTCTCCCTTGACTGTGTTCGAAAATTTTTGAAAATAGCAATAAAACAGAAAACAAATAAAAGAATAAGATAACAGCTAGGTGTGCAAACCAAAATCCCATGCTGACTGACTGTAGAGGCATGCAACTTTTCAGTGTATGTATTTTTGTAACTTTGGAATGTATTCTCTAAAAAGTTCTAAAGGGAAGTTTCTTTTGTAGCTTACTTACAAGAATAACTTTAAAATAGATTTTAGTGACCCTGTTAATGATACTATCAAGACAATTGAGATATGGGGCAGTTAATATCTATAAAGGCTAAAGGTTTCTTAAACTCCAACAGCTTAGCTGAAAGGTCTTCTTCCATACTTTTAGACTTGATTAGCATTATATTAAACAGCCATATCTGACTTGCTGCGGAACCAAAGTTGTGGTTATTCTTTATACAGCATCTAAAATTTCACACTCCATCAACACACGTTCAAGCTATTTTATCTTGGCAATTAATTTATTATTTTTCAGAACACAGTGAAGCCTTGTTTTCAAGTCATTCATAACTTTATAAATCAGTCCTGCACATGAAACCATGCATCTGTGAACCGTAGAAAATCCTTGCACTCAGGCGATTAAGCTCCTGACACCTTTACTGATTAATAATCATGAAAAGAATAAGATCAGAAGCAAAATAAATGATCATTTAATAGAGAAACTCACAAAACAGCCCTTTAACTTACATATTCCATCATGTTATTCGTTTCACATTTCCTTTTGCTCAGTCTCCAATGCAAGCACAGCTAGACAAGGAGGAAAGAAAAAGAAGAAAAATGAGTTGTATTTTATTGCAGCACACAGAGTAGCCCATTTGTCCACCTTTCATATTTTTCGTTCAACAAAAGCATCTGTTTCCATACTGTGCAATTCAAACTCCAACAGTACGAAGCTGCTCCCTGCGGCACTCACCTTGTGGTATAACCTATTGTTTTCCCATTCTAATAACTTCTCAATCGATCTTCGTGTCTGGAAGACAAATGAGAAAGAATTTTACTCTTGACTGGTTTTAGAAAAACTTTGTTTTGCAGCTGCTTTTGTGTGAAAAGGGGAGAGGTATAGGACAGTGACTGAGTACAGGGTGGTCTGCAATACTATCAAACCTTCTGTAGTATTGAACTGTAACTAGAGCAGAAATGACCCTTTAAAAAAAATAAAATCTTGGGCCATATGAAAAAAGCATTACAACTTTTGAACACAGTGGTTCATATGTGTTTTAATTGCTTGGAGACTAGCTTTGGCCTTAAAAATGTCTCCTCAGAGTACTCAAACAGCAATTTTGAGACTTTTTTTAAGTATCAAAAAGAATGTTACACAATAATATCAATGTGAATATACTGCTTCCAAAAGGTTAGTATTTGAACAGCTGAAAGATGCTGTAAACCTTATTTTGTAATGTAAGATGTCCAGGATAAATATCTAATATTCTATCTAAGCAAGATCTTTAACAAAATCTTTTATATCTTAACCTCTGAAAACTTGCCAGAGAAGTCCAAATACAGAAAGTTAAGCGTTTGTGCAAGTTACCATCTTAAGTGGTTATAAAAAAATCTATGATTTACATAAAAATGCAGTGAAATATCAGTATTTCAGACTCTAAACGTTTGGATATTTGTGTTTTTACATTTGACATTTCATGGAAAGAATTCTGACATTTTAAAATCTAAACCTCGATAAATCTTTACAACTGACATTTTGCATGTATACAAAATGTAATGAAAATGGCAATCTTTAAGAACAGCTTCACGCCTAGTGATATTTTGAGTATTTGGGTATACTAATTTAGTTGTATTTACATTTTAGAAACGTACACCGACATTTATGGTCATTTGACTGCTGCAATGTATACTGCTCAGTCCTTAATGGGATTTGCTAGCAAGTATGAATAAAAGAGGATAATTCATGATGCCAGGTGTTAAGATGAGACCAACAGAGCTGCAGGTGCAAAAGGACACAGTACCGACAAGGATCAACTGCAACTTAGTGCAGCTGCAGCTTCCTTACAAGGCAATGGGGTGAAGGGGGAAGCATCTTGCTGTTATTATTGCAAAATAACAGAGGTAATATAAACAAACACTAACAATGACAAGCGACAAATCTGTGCATCAAGCAAGTATAAGATGAAGAAAATAAAAATTAAACAACTGCTTTCAACTGATTGGTTAGGCATTTCAAAAACAAAATGTTAATATTTATTTAAAGTCAGCTATTTGCTTTTTAGTTACCATACAACCTTTCAACAAACATATTTAAGCCTGAGCTATGGTCATAGGATTAAAAATAAATTAATTATAATCTAGGAATAATCATTATTGGGTTGTGTTTCAACTACATTATATTTTAAAATCACACATTATAGGGACATTAAACATGGTTTTGTCAGTGACTTAGTGTATTGCATCGGGTTTTTTTGGAATTGAGGTTTTTTGTTTACTATAATAATAATAATAAAAATAATAACAACAACTACTACTTTTTTTTTTAAGACAGTGCCCTTTAACAATGATCAGCAGACCTAACTTGTTTCTTTGTAAAGATAGCCTTTTAGAGTCTGCTCTCCTTTTAAATGAAAATAGGGCAGCAGTTATGGTCACACTTTTGTTAATTTAGTTGCCAGTCAGCTCCAAATCAAAAGAAAATAAGGCTGCAGAGTGTAATTAACATTCAGTTCAGTCGTTTTGTCCCTTGTCTAGCCCCCAAGCTTTGTTAAAATTGCCATCTGAAGAACATGATCTAACTGCTTTCAGCCCTCCGTAAATCTGTACTAGGTCTTTAGCACAATGCAACTTCCAATTTAAAAAGCACTGAATGTCTCGTCAATGACTTTGTGAAGAAAAAAGAACAAGGAGCAGACATAAAAATTCCAATAGTTGTTTAAGCATTAAAGTTCATTTGCATCACAGCAAACCTGAAAAGGGCTGACCTCTCAAACCGCCTCTCAGGTCTATGAAGTTGTAGCCTTGACAAGCTCACATTGACAGAGCTCATTGACTCTGAAAGGCTACTCTATCAATGGTGAAAAATGGCAATAGGTTCTACTCTGAGCAGGCATCTGCCTGCCCACCCGCTGCTAAACCAATGGCAAAACCGACTCAGGTTTTGAATCTACCTTGTAATCTTCCTTTCCCGGACCTTTTAATAAATTGTATTGTGATCTTAATCTATTAATTTTATTACTTGCCTGAAAAAGAGTGGAACAAATATTCTAGATTTCTAAATTCCAATAAAATGGCTAACACAAATATGTGTATGTAGATAGTATACTGTATATTGCATACATTACATATGCACAAGAAACTGAACGTACAATATTAAAATGTTGCATGCAGAATGGACCAAAAATACTTTCTGTACAAGATCCTTCATTACAGTAAAAATATCCACCAAATATTAAACCTGTTAAACTACTGATGTAGGTTTAATCAATTTATTTAAAAACTAATCAATTGTATCCAATTAGAACTACTCTAGCTAGTAAGATTTGGACTATATAACGTTTGATAACACATTACAACAAAGATGGTCTTGATCACATATGTAAAATTGCTACTATAATACTTCCTATCCCCCTGTATATATGCTTTGTGAGATTTACAATTCATAAACCAACACTGAATTACAGCTATAAAAATGTGAATGAAAACTTAAAATGTAAAACTCTACTGAAAACTCCACAGCTTGGGGGAAAAGAAGTGAATTAAACAGCATCACAATTCTCTATAGCAAGTCTTCTTTCCTACTTGACAGGTGAAAAAAAGCACTTGCACGTGCAGCTTAATTAATCACTGCACTTGACATCTCAATGATTTACAGTGAGGAGCAGGTGAGGACATACAAAACCAGAAAGGACCCCTTGATTTTAGTGTAACGTTTCCAGCATACTGGGATGACAAGCATATAGATTCTATCAATGGTGTACAGAAAAAACCTATACTGCAAATTATTTGTTAGTAACAACAAAAGCACAAATTAAGTGGAAGAAAGCTTTAGTTATAAGGAAGTTAGTTAATACTGTTCACATCTCTAAATCTTTTTAAAAATCAATTTTGTAAACAACTACCAATACAAGTTTTTTGTTTTTTCACTGTTAAAAGTATAGACAGATGTGACAAACCAGATCTTTATTCTCCATTTAAAAAAAAAAAAAAAAGAAAAAAAAAGAAAGTAGCATAACAAATTCAGCTTCATCAATTCTAGGTGGAGAATTGAATGAGACATTTCAGTAATATGAAAACATAGCATCCTGAATTCCTACATGCAATTAGATTTGACTCAGCTTCTAAAATGAGCATGTTTGATGGCCTCGTTTGAAAAATTATTCCTCCAGCCACAAGAAAATCTACAGCCAAAATAAACACTTTTAGTCAGATAGTGCTCCCATTTAAGTCAATGAGAGTTTTGCCATTTCTGCAAAGGGAGCAAAGTTAAGCCCTTTAGCTAAAAGCTATGTTGCACTTTTTTAGTTATTTAATTTGTGTGGTTTTCAGGTAGGCTGAGTGTGACAAATCAGTGTTATCTATCAAAAATTACTTACATTTTTAAGATCTGTTATCAACCTGCTTCTCCCTGGACACGTACCTTACTTATTGAATACTGCTGTTTCTGGATGACTAGAATAGCCCTTTTGCCCCTCTACTCTTCTTTTCAGGACACTTATCAGGGCTTGATCCACTTACCTGGAGATTGACACTGCTAAGATCCATCTTCCATGGTCTAATTTAGAGGGTTTAGTAACTCTGGTACTCACCAGTTCACAAGGAGTAAGAGAAATCAACATGAGTATTTCTCCCATTGACCTTCCACAGTGGGGACTCTGAAGAAATTCAATCTAAAGTATGTCAACTACAGTTACGTTATTCACATAGCTGGAGTTGCATATCTTAAGCTGACTTTTCCCCTAGTGTAAACCTGGCCTCTGTAAATACTCGGTGATTCCAGCTGCTCTGCATAATTCTACATTACTGAAGATCTCTTCAAAACCCACTGACTATGCTTCCAACTACTGGGTTTGAAAAACCACTAAACGTATATATGTTCTGTTTACTCTGGATAAATAACAGTCACATTTAGTAATTTTTCTACTTCTTACTCCATATAGAGAAACCATAATCTTGTAAAGCCCCAGCAATGCTTCCCTTGATGATCATAGTCTAAACGTATCCTCTTTCCAAGAGCCAAAAAATACCCTTTAAATTCAAACCCCTCGAAGTTCCAAATGGGCAATCTGGGTACAGCTGCCATCCAAGAGTCTGAGCCTCAATGTCTCCATGCACCCAGTGTTATACATTCTTTTTTGTCTTCCCACAACATATCCCATCATACAATTTTGCTCAACATTTATCTTCTAACCTCTCATGCCATTCAATTTCAAGATAACCTTCTCCTCATACATGCTTACAGCATCTAGCTGAATGGGAACCCAATTCCTGATGGAGGCCTCTCAATGCTACTGCAATGCAAATATTAAATTACAGAGACCCTGTACTTATTATAATGCTATTTGAGTATCTCCCTATTTTAAGGTGTGGATTCCTAAAGATTAATCATACTATATTTTTATAAATATTTAAAGGACTGTATAGTTCATAAATAGTAATTTTGACAGTCCTGGAGAATAAAGCCCTCTATTTAAATACAACAGGGGAAGGCCAGTTGCATTACAACTTTTTCACCCTACTCAATTTTGTTCACATTCCTCTAGGATTAATAGGGAGCTTCATTCTTCGTGACCATTTGATCTTTGGCTTCTTTCCTGAAATTGACAACAAGGGTGCTAACTGTGATGTGACACATGCCCCATAAGAACTGTACCAAGACAACCAATTATTTTATAAATACAGGCAGTCCCCGAGTTACGCGGATCCGACTTATGTCGGATCCGCAGTTACAAACGGGGCTTTTCTCGCCCCGGAAGACGGGAGCGGCAGGATGCCCAGATGAGCCGCAGTGCCGTCACCCACGTTCTCCGG